TAGCAAAATACTAGCCATTTGGAATAATATACGCATATATTATAGAAACACCTGTTGTTTCCAAGCATTGTATGTTTAATGTATAAAAAGGTAAGAAATATGTGTGTGTGTGTGTGTATATATATATGTGTGTGTATATATATATCATTTTAACAGCTAAGTTATGCAAGGGAGAAAAATGCCACTAGAACTAAATGCCTTACAGGTGTTGCACTCTCATACTGTGAAAAAGATATGGACAAAACAGGAAAGAGAAAGTAAAAAACAAAAGAAGAAGAGATAATAGATTAGCATAAGTGGCTAGAATTTCCAAAATTCTATAGGTAAAATAAAAAGTACATTTCTATAGTTAAACTAAAAATATAGTAGACATGTTTCAAATGAAGTATAGACATAACATTTTATATTCTTGGTGTTATTCAAGAATAATTGTTGAAAATGCGTAGTTGGAAATTGAGGATTGAATAAATTCTCATGTATGGAGACAAATCATTGGAAGTGGAGAGAGTAAAGAAAAGAAGGAGATCAGCAAAGTTGAATAGACTAGGTGGGCAAAGACTCACTGAGACTTGTGTGATAATGTCCTTCTGAAACTCTGATCTTCTTCTTTCCTAAGACATCTGCCAACAGATCTCCTAATGCATTTTATCAATAATTTTGAATATTAACCTTAGGGCTAGTTAAATATTAAACAAATAGGAAAGTTCTGTTTCAAAAAAAGTCAAAAATAAAAAATCGTACAAAATTAAAAGTATTTCTTTATAGCATAATTAGTAAGCACCTTAACTATACTATTATTTGTTATTAAATCCAAAATAGAGATATGGTATACAGGTTTCTTAGTTTATTCAGAACAGAATTCCTTCACTGCAGTGTTCCTTATAAAGGAAACATAAAAGAATACATGGCGGAACATGTGTATTAGATCTTTTATTTACAAACATTATGTGTAATTATTATATGCTGGATCCTGTGGTTCTCAATTAAGGGATGTTCTGGCTCATGTTCCCACACATACTTGGGGGCATCTGGAAATGTGAGTGGGAATTTTGTGGTTGGCACAAGAACTTGTAGAGGGTGGTGGGCAAGGATATATATAGTGTTCCCAGACACAGATGCTAAATGTTTTGCAGTTCCACACATTCAAGAACGACCGCCTCTCCTCCCCCATGCTGGTAGTGTTCTTATTTAAAAATAGCTAAACACACTTTGGGGGACTTTTTTAAGGAAAGTTCCACTCAAAATACATTGATAGTTGTTGGATTCTGTTGTTAGTTCTTTTCCATGCCTGTTAAGCAATGATTATTTATATCACATGAACAAATATATATATTTTGTGCTGAGTGGTAAGAAAAAAACTACAAAAAGCAGAAAAGAATATTCAGTATACATCAACTGGAGGGTATTACAGAAGCAATTGGTTTCTTAAAATCTCTGTCTGATAATTTAATTTACTTTCCTGAATTTATCACTGAATACTTACGACTTATAAAACAAAGTGCAAAATCCTAAAAGTGATATTCAAGGTTTTCCTAATCTGCATTTGAATATTTATTGTCTATTAGCATCCTCCCAGCATTTTCTTATCAATCCATTCATCACTTCTTCTACATTTATTTCCTTGCCTGTACATTTACAGTATACATTCTGCCTGGAATTCCCTTTCCCAGTCCATTCTGTATATGTTCGGATCCAAACTATTTTATTCTAGGCTCTCCTAAAAAGGCCAAGACCTTTAGGAATACTTCCCTCAATTCCATTTCCTGAAAATAGAATATAATTTCTGACTTGTTGGAACTCAATACTAATTGTTTTCTGTGATTTCTCATGATATTTGGTATTCTAGATATTACATTATATTTATTTTTGTATGTGTCTTAATTCTGTCTCTAAATTATAAGCACTTAAAGAAATTGATTTATATCTTACTCATCTTTGCAACTTCACAGCTCCTTAGAACCTCCACCCACATAATTACTACTCAACGAATAATTGCTAAGGTCATTACTCGTCCTTCAAAGGCAGGCCTGGGGACTGGAGATAAGTGAAATGATTGGTAGATTAAAAAAAGGGATTAATACTGAATAGTCACCACACTTCTAAGCTCAATTAGCACTTTTTCAATGACTTCTGAGTTCACTTGAGTTGACTTTAATAGTACTCCTGTTATCAATCCCAAGATGACACAATTATTATGCTAGGACATACTAACTTGTCTAGGACTGACAAATTTTTTTTTGAAGTTAGCTTGTAAGTTTTCTCTAAAGTAGATTCGAAAGTATTAATGCTCTATAATGACCTTTCTATCTCTGATTCTTGACCTTATGTCATACTCAAACAACTGTCAATGCTGAATCAATCTATTAAATTGTTCCCTAAAAATTTTCCCTTTTTTCTATGATTAAACAATTAGTTGTTAGTATTATTTCCTTTCTTCATAATCGTTAAAATTTTTATGGTTCTTCCTTTAGTAATTCTCCTCCAACTAGAAAATGTCAGAAGTATCATTTTTACTTCTTCAAATAAATGAACAGTCCTTTCATAACTTTGCTTTTACAGATCTACTTTTCAAATATTTCAATAATATACCCTGCTCCTATTAGCAAGTATACCTTCCATTATTTTGAACTTCAAGTTCTTAACCAGATGAGATACTGAATAATCCAGACTATACCTAGATTCTGAAAGCAAGTGGTCAGAAGCCAATAAATTGAGATATTGAGTCACAAAGTATGTCAAAATAAATATGTTCCAGTAAAACTCTGAAGTCACCATGGAAATTGACTTCAAGCATTTTTTTTTTTTTTTTTTTTTTTTTTTTAGCATCCAGTATATTTCTCTTTTCTGCCATTCATCTTATTTTTCAGGTATACTTGTCATGTTCCTGTTTAACTGGAAGTATGGCTGGCATAAACTCTTTTGAATAACTGTTAGTTCTGCATGGCTGAACCTAAATATCAAACATGATTGGGAAAAGATAAGGTGATGATATTGGAAAAATCTATCTAAAAGATATGAGTCATGTTTCCAAAATAAGGCAGCAAATTCACTCTTCCCGTTAGTTTATTATTTCATCCGGTAGAATATGAACCTTTTGTTTGTTAATTGCAAGGCTTGATGCCCTGCAAGGACCTCTTTGCATTTTGTAGATAATGCCAAAAAGAAACAAAAACAATTCCTATACTTAGCATGCAGTATAGTTTATTGCTGTCTACATTCTGACATTTAACAATGATCTCACTCTCACCAGCAATAGGTAATTGAAGTAAAACATAATAAACCCAATCAAGATGTTATTTTTCTCCTTTGATGCAGTTCCTTTAAATACTTGTCTCTCTGGTATTTTAATCTCTTGCAGGAAAAGAATTATTTTATGATACAAATTAACCATTATAAATAAGTTGATTTCTATTTGTCTTTCTATAATCAATGATATATTAATATTTTTGTCATTAACAAAAAATTTGAAACATATCTAGTGGGTTGAGCAGTGCTCCCTAAAATATATGTCCAAGTCCTCATTTACGATAGCTGTGAATGTGATCTTATTTGAAAGTATGGTCTTTGCATGTGTAATTAAGCTAAAGAACTTGAAATGAAATCACCTTGGTTTTAGAGTAGACCCTAAATTCAATCACCAGTGGCCTTATAAGAGTAAAAAGCCAGAGATTTGAAACACAGAAAACAACAGGAAGGATGTTGAAGACAGAGTTATTGGAGTTATGAGGCTACAAGCCAAGGAAGACCATGAAATGCCAACAGCCCCAGATGCCAAGAGAGAGGCATGGAATAGATTTTCCTTCAGAGTCTTCCGAAGGAACCAATTCTCATCTTGGTTTTGGATTTTTGGACTCCTGAATTGTGAAAGAATAAATTTATTTTGTTTCAAGCTGCTCAGTTTGTGACATAAATGTCACGAAATTTGTTGTTTCACCAAGAACATAAAATTATTTCTCCTTCTCCTTCTTCTTTTGAGATGGAGTCTCGCTCTGTTGCCAGGCTGAAGTGCAATGGTGCGATCTCAACTCACTATAACCTCTGCCTCCGAGGTTCAAGTGATTCTCCTGCCTCAGCCTCCCGAGTAGCTGGGACTACAGGTGCCTGCCACCACACCCAGCTAATTTTTGTACTTTTAGTAGAGACGGGGTTTCGCCATTTTGGCCAGGATGGTCTCAATCTCTTGACTTTGTGATTTGCCTGTCTCAGCCTCCCAAAGTGCTGGGATTACAGGCGTGAGTCACCGTGCCTGGCCTTCTTCCTATTATTAAAAATATATTTTCAGAACTTTTCAATGTCTCATTGAAACTCAATGCATAATATGCACATGAAATTTATTTTTCTTTCTTTTAAACTCTTCTTAATTTGAGAACAATAATTACCCAGTCAATCACTTATCTCAAAGTGAGGCTTCAGTTGAAGTCTTTTCTTATAGTAAGACAATTATGCAGATAAAGATGTTTCTTAGAGCCACTATTTCTCGCATCTGCTTCTGATTATGCTTGAGAGATGATATAATTATAAAGATTAATTAGTAGTCAGCAGAATAAAGTCGTATTTCCTCACATTAGCAATATGTCAGTACTAAAATGCTGAAGCTTTCAGAGAAATGTGATAAAAAATGTTCAGTGCTTGTTAGGTCAGGCAACTCAATGAAACTGAATTTTTTTTTTTTTTTTTTTTTTTTGAGACGGAGTCTCGCTGTGTCACCCAGGCTAGAGTGCAGTGGCCGGATCTCAGCTCACTGCAAGCTCCGCCTCCCGGGTTCACGCCATTCTCCTGCCTCAGCCTCCCGAGTAGCTGGGACTACAGGCGCCCGCCACCTTGCCCGGCTAAGTTTTTGTATTTTTTAGTAGAGACGGGGTTTCACCGTGTCAGCCAGGATGGTCTCGATCTCCTGACCTCGTGATCCGCCCGTCTCGGCCTCCCAAAGTGCTTGTGTGCATGCTGATTTGCAAAAATGCAACAGAGATAGATAGTCAGATGAAGGGAATGAAGATTCATTAAGTTTGTAAAAACTCTTTAATTGCTAATTAGATGGGAGCATATCACATTCAAATTGGAAACATTTAGCTCTTTTTCTCCTTACCAATTAATAATGAGAGAGAGATGTTTAAAGAAACAAATAATATTTAGGAGGTCTCTTTTGAGTAGACCTGGGCATCACGTATTTCTTTCCATAAAAGTAATTTAACAGCAGCAGCAGTAACAATATCAATAGGTAGGATGTTTACCCCGAAAGGCATTAAGTCGTCTGTCTTGCCAGCACTGATGAAGGATATGTACTTCCTGTGTAGTCCAACACTGCATGTTGACCTGTGCTTTACCTCTTTGCCTCCTCCTAAGCTGAGATTCTTGAGAGCATGGGCCGTGAGCACTGTGCTGAGCCACGTCGGAGCCTGACACAAAAAGAATAAATCAGTCATACTCACCTTCTATTTATGTAATATTTTATATTTACATTTATATTTTTTAAAAATACTGCAGTTAACTATTAATTATATTGAGTACGATTTTATTTTGTTGGTGCTTCCTTACTGCTACGTTCTAGAAGAGGACTTACCTGCCTCTTCTTAATCCTGGTCCTTGTTGTGATTCTCATTTATGTTGCCCAGTGCCTGGCACAAGGTCCCCCACATAACTGGTGCTTAAGGAAACAGCTTGTGATTCAACAAGTTCTTTATAAGAATCGTGATGCAGCTCTTACAAAGAGAACTTAAAATGCCCAATGAGCACTTAAAACAATCTTATGAAATAGAAACTGGGAGTTGTTAGCAAATGAGAACAGATTCAGCAAGTTAAAGCAAATTACCTCTCGGGCTAACATACACGTAGTCAGATGCCCTCTATGCTATTTATTTTCAAACATATCATGTTAAAAGCAAAATGTTTCCTAAAGCAGGTATTGATTTTTTGCCTTTATTATTTATTAGAATACAATATATTTAACACTTCCTATGAGTAGCTAATAACAGCAATATTAGAGCGTTGGATATTCTAAAGGCTAAATTTGGATAAATTTTAGTGTAAATATTGTAAAATAACCAATAGCCACAAGATAGAAAAAATCTTGAATTTATTTAATTTTATTTTTAAATCAAAATTCGGTAACATTTGAAATGCTGTATGCCAGTTTGGGGTCCCCTATTATTTGCTGTATACATTTTGTTCATATGAAAACTTGTTGACTATGGCAATCAGTAAATTTGCTTTAAATCGTATCAGAGGTTCTTAATCAACAAGAGTCCAAAATTATGTTTGGCCTAGAGAAAAGGTAGGCACTGTGTAAGACAGTAGAGTATCAAATGCCTATTGAAAAATTAGTCTGTCCAAGAAACAACACTTACTCATACTAATCTAACTTAGCTATGGTAATTTTCTTCAAAGTTTTCTCTGTCCATGCAATTAAAAAAAGCAAACTTACTGGAAAAATATGATTTGAGATTTGCATTTCTATGGTGCAGTGCAGATGGCACATTACATTAAAATATATATTGAATACTAAAAATGGTAAATCCCACGTCAGCTACTGCTGATGTCTTTCAGACCATCATACCTAATGTCTTTTCTCCAAATTCAGTTCTAGGCTCTTTATTGGCCTCATATAGATCAGAAAAACTAAGGATGAAAAAAAATGAAATTGTATAATCTGTAAGTACATGATATTAATTAATTTATTCAGTCAAAAATTTTGGGAAAACTCTCTTTGCTAGTATAGACCTCCCCAAAATGGATATATCATGGTTATAAGCAAACTTGTTGAAAATAAAGTGGTGAAGAGAGGAAAAGGGAGAGTGATTATAGCATTACATAAAAAGTAACAATCAGGTTTTTTTTCTTGAATAGAGGAGTATCTTCTAAACGATTCTTGCCTTAGCATCTCATCTCTTAATCTCAGAAGTCGAGTTTGTTATATAAATTTTCAATCCGAAAGAAAGCCAAACTCAAAATAAATTAAAAACTCTAAGCAATGGCTGCAAGTGATTTTCCAAAATGCTCATGGAGAAGGGTTCACTTTTCTTGAATAATTTCTGCATGAATCTGTCCAGGTAACAGAAGAGATAAGTATAGCTATAAATACAATAATATAAATGTAGTTGTCCTTTAAACTCTGAACTTTGTCCAGCTCGAAGAGATTGAGGACTTTTTATAATTTTCATGCTGACTCTGGGTCTAGAAAGTGCAGACCAAACTAGGCTGTGGGTTAATACAGTAGGAAGCAGAACAGTATACCTCGGATAAAAGAATGGGGTCCAGACACAAAGAAGCAAATTTTATCTGAGGGCTTTACTGATGGACTAATGAGCAGGGATTGTAACTTAAGAAACCTGTTACAGATATTGAGCATTTTGCTTTTATATTGCTGCATTATGAGCCATATCAAAATTTAAACACCTAAAACAGCTATCTGATTACCTCTCATTTTTCTATAAAACGATTGGGCTCAGTTCTTTTCTACTCCATGTGATACTTGCTGGGCCATTGTTGGAATGGCTATCAATGTCAGGCTATTGAACCAATCTAAAATTGACCTGGAATGTCGAACTAGGCTCACTCACGTGGTTGGCATTTGATGCTGGCACTTGGCAGGGAGATCATGTGAGATTGACAAAGGCAAGTTAGTTCTCCATGTGGTCTCCCCATGTGGCTTGGGCTTCTCATATTATGACTACTCATTAAAGTACACAAAGTGGATCCTGTCAGTCATCTTAAAGCCTGGGGTTCTAGAATGTAACTTTTGCCTCATCTCATTGGTTACATCCGGACAGCCCACAATCAAGGGGAGGGAAATATGTTCTACCTCTTGACATGCAGTGCGAACATAAAGGTATGAGAATAATTTTCGGACACTGTCATTGGAAACCAGCTACCACATTACTTTAAATATGCCTATCTTTAGGTTAAGAGTTTAATAATCTGGATGTAATCCATTGCATACTATAGATGCATGTTTTTTTACTTGTCAAATTATTTTTGTTTTCATTAGAAAATCCAAAATTAAAATAATTCCGTTGATTTTAAAGATAGGTACATATTTCATATAAAGTCAGTTAACAAATCTGGTATGTTATAATGGACAAACCAAGTACCTATACAATGATGTGGCATGGCATGTACTATTCACAGAAGTATTTAAATCCAGTATTTTTTCATGGGATTCGGAGTTATGGGCTTGAGGTTATGCAAAACATCAAAGTGGAGCTAGCTTCATTCTGGGCAATAATTGTTAAGTAGATTAATTTTTCGAACCTCACTGTTTACATTTATTAAGTGTAGATTATAATATTCTAATGGACATTTCTTATCGACTAATATATCAACTATTTTATAATTCTCCACAACTGATAGTACTCAAATTTTGTTTAGGTAACAACCCATTCTTCAAACAGCCTACTCTAAGCCCTTATTGACTTAACCAATTATCATATTCCATTCTTTTGGGTAAAATGATGGGGTTAGGGTTGGGACCCCATCAAACCAATTCAAATAGAATAAATTTAAAAACAATTGGAATATTGGAAAAAAATTTCTTTCTCTGTATATAAACAAAGAAATTCATAGCACTAGGAGTCGTTATCAAAGTTACTGGGTAGAGAAGAACTCTTTTATCATGAGATTGGAAAAATGGCATTTAGAGAAGAAAGATGAATTTATTGCTTCAAACTGCAGCTACATTTTCTCCTCAGAAGTCTACATTTGAGAGCTAATAGTGAACCTTTTTGCTCTAAATCTATTTATGTTAGAATTTTTGATCGTATCAAAATTAAGATACTTAAAATATGTATAGATCACATAATTGTTTCAAAAATTAAATTTGATAATTCTTATAAAACATCCTGTACCATGTCTGGCATATAAACAATTTTTTAAAAAAATTTTACTCATTATTTGAAGTATGGCAATATTCCTAGTCCATCAAATAGTTTTATTTTTTTCTTAAGAAACAGATTTTAAATATTTTTTGTTTAGTTACAGAACAACAACAAAAAAAAACCCCATAGGACCTTGAGTCTATGTGATTTTAATTTCAATACATAAGGTAGAGCTGTCTGCAATTATAAGCTTACCTAACAGAGAAATATGGTGTAAATGAAAAACACAATAAAAATGTAATTACAGAAGCTGGTTGATTTTTATTTTTCCTTGAAAGAAGTTTGTGTTGGATAAGAAAGAGCTGATTTCTATTATGTTTTATGATTACAGTATTCTATTTATATTCTCAGCATTGAATTAATTTCTTTTTTAATGCTAACCTTGCTGAGGATCCTTTTAAAATACTTTAATGAGTTGAGTACATAAATCATCTCAGTGAACACAAACACTTACATGTAAAAACTCTGGAGGGAGCTTTTTACAGATTTTAGAGTGGAAAATGAGTCACTTGAAGGCTTTGTGCCCCCTCTTATCACTTACCCAAAATGAAAATAAATAACAATTGTTATTTTTCATAGACTTAGCAATGGTAAAATCTTTAATAAAAAATTGTTCAAAAGAAAACATACAACATTGCATATAGAGAGCTTTACAATACATTGCATACAAAGACTACCAAGTACAGGCTTAGCATTTGCTCTCAAGTTTGTGGATTTTGACATGAGCTGGAGTGAATATTGCATTATAATGGAGACCGTATGCATATAAGCAAATGTCCACAGTAAAAAGGAGAGTTTTTGAAGGCTATACTGTAATAAATAAAGATTACAATTAGAGAATTAATAGCTAAATATTAAAACTAGAATAGAATAGAGAATGCTTCATTTATATCTTCTATTAGCTGGAAATATTTATATGTATACAAGCAAACTCTAATTTAAAAATAAAGTGCTATAGTTCTGTAATTAGTCATAATTAAATCCTTCAATTTATTAGATGTTCTCACACATATATAACATCAGGTTTACAATTTAGGTAGTAGTGACAATTTGTCAATCTGGAGAGTCATTGAGTTTTGAATAAACATTGCTTAATTTGCTGGTTTTTAAAACCTCACTTTCATATATTCAATTTGCTTAGAGTAGATCTCATCAATATTCTCACTCAGCAGATGCATCCCAAACCTTTACCTACATAGAGATGCCAAATTTTGTTTTCTGAATAAGATTCACTGGAAGGAACCTAAAGACTCATCTATGATGGAATTAAGAATATATTAAGAATAAATTTAAAATATAATGGAATACTGGCATAATTTTCAGGTTCTTTAAAACCAGCCTACATAGACATAGCCTCGCATGTCTATCGCATAATTTGTTGAGAAACCGAGGAAAGCATATTTCTGTAATTTGCTTTATTCTCACCATTTATAATAGGGATATAAGCTTTAGAAAACAAAGATTCCATCAATACAGAAGAAAGTCAGAGACCAATACTATATAGTAAAACAGAAATCAAACCAAAACCCATGATTCTCATATAAGATATACAATGATAATTTTGTTTTTGTGGAATTTAATTTCTATAGGTCTTAATGTTTTAATTTTGTGAAAAAAAAGATCACAATAACTTTTATGCCCTCAAGGGATGAAACTGTTTAGCTAAAGGACATAGTGAACCATTAAGTCTGAGGTGAACTACCCAACAGAATATCTCCTTAAGAATAAAACAGAACGTGGCATATTAAAAAGTTACTTGCAAGTTCTGTCTGTATATCTTAACTCCCCAGGAAAATGCCTTGCTCTTACTCTACAAAACATTCCGTTTCCTTAATAATTGACATCATTAGGAAAATGGGGCGGTGGAGCAATATGGCCAAATAGAAACCTCCACCAATCATTCTCCTGCAGAAACACCAAATTGAAAAACTATTTATACAAAAAGCACCTTCACAAGAACAAAAATAGTACCTGGTGATTGTTCAGGTGAACAATCATAGCACCTGGTTTTAACTTCATATTACTGAAAGAGGCACCAAGAGGGTAGGAAAGACCATCTTTAATGTCAACACTGCTCCTCCCCAATCCCCTAGCAGTGGCACCGTAATGCAGAGAGAGAATCTGTGCACTTGGTGGAAGAACAAAGCAAATGTGGTGCTTTGCATTGGGACTCAGCGCTGCTCTATCAGTGTGGAAAGGAACAGCAGGCAGAACTCCATTGACATCCACAGAGGGAGCATTTAGACCAGCCCTAGCCAGAAGGGAATTGTCGACCCCAGGAACTGGAACTTGAGTTCTGGCAAGCCTCACTACTGTGGGCTAAATAACTCTGTGATCTAAAATAAACTTCAAAGGCAATCTAGGTCACAAGGACTGCACTTCCTGGGAGAGTCATGGTGCTTGGAGCCAGTGTACTTGGGGGACAAGCAACCTAGTGTGACACCAGCTAGGCTGGCCAAGTGAGTATTTGTGCCACCCCTTCCCCAGTGCCAGGCAGCACAGCTCACAGCTCTGGGAGAGACACTTTCCCTCTGTTGAAGGAGAGGAGAAGGGAGAGTAAGGAAGACTATGTCTTACAACATGGATACCAGTTCAGCCACAATAGGACTGGGCATGAAACAAAGTTGCAAGGCCTACATTCCAGGCCAAAGCTCCCGCATATTTCTAGACACACACTAGGCCAGAGAAAACCTACTCCCTGAAAGGAAGAACAAGGCAGGATTCATCACCTGCTGACTAGAGAGCCCTTGGGCTCTGAATAATCAGTAGCAATACCCAGGCAGTACTTCCTGTGGGTTTTAGGTGACCCTCTGAGACATGCTGGCTCCAGATGTCATCTAGCACATTCCTAGCTGTGGTGACTATGGGGAGAGACTCCTTCTGCTTGAGAAAAGGAAAGAGAAGAATAAAGAGGACTTTGCCTTGAAGCTTAGGTACCACCTTGGCCGCAGTGGGGTAGAGCACTAAGCAGGCTCTTGGGGTCCCCAGTTGTAGGCCTTGGCTCTTGGAAGACATTTCTGAACCTGCGCTGGGCCAGTGGAAGGCCCATGGCCCCGAAGAGAGGGTCCTAGGACTGGCAGCACTTACCACCAGCATAAGAAAGAACTGTTGGGCTTTAAGTGAGCATCAGCAGTTGCTGGGAAATACTTGCCATAGGCCTGGGCCTGTGGTAGCCATCAAGAAAGACTCCTTTGCTTGTGGAAAAGGGAGGAAAGAGTGGAAAGGATGTTGTCTTGCGGCTTGCGTGCCAGCTCAGCTGCAGAGGAATAGAGTATCAGGGGGATTCTTAAGGTGTCTCATTGCAGACTTTGCCTTCCTGACAGCATCTCTAGATGTACCTGGGCTCAGATAAACTCATTGCCCTGAAGAGAAAGACACAAGACTGGCTGGCTTTGTCCCCTGCTGATTGTAGAGTCCTAGGTCCTTGAGTGAACATAGATGGTAGCCAGGCAGTGGTTACAACAGGCCTTGGGTAAAACCCAGTACCATGCTGGCTTCAGGTCTGATTCAGAACAGTCCCAGTGTTAGTGGCCACAAGGGTACTTGTGTCAACCCTCCTCCAGCTCCAGGCAGCTTAGAACAGAGAGAGATACTTCATTTGTTTGGGAAAAAGTAATGGAAGGAAGGGGCTGGGCACGGTGACTCACACCTGTAATCCTAGCACTTTGGGAGGCTGAGGCAGGTGGATCATGAGGTCAGGAGATCGAGACCATCCTGGCTAACACGGTGAAACCCTGTCTCTACCAAAAATACAAAAAATTAGCCAGGCATGGTTAATGTAGTCCATGGGCGCCTGTAG